ATGCATTTGGAGATCTGTCTGTTCAGATGCCTGTATGCTGTCAAGTCTGTTGAAGAATGTAGCTTCATCTCCCGTCTAACAGCCATGAGATTAAGAGTGTGATCGGAGAGTTTTTGTGTTCTTCTGCGGCGGGTCTTGCAGAACTTAGCTCCGACCGCATGGACAGTTTCCACGAGCTTGTCATTCATATCGTCCACTTCATTGCAGTCTTCCAGGCACTGAAAACGGTTTTGTAACTCGAGCTGAAAGGTTTCGGGACTTTGGAATAGAGCACGAGGGGGACGGAGCGTTGACTTCATTAGACGAGACCTCTCCAACTTAACGTTTAGGTTCAGTGTGCCTCTAACCATTCGGTGATCGCTACCAGTTTTCACCCTCGCGATCACGGAGACATCACTGAACAGTTGTCGTCTGGTCGTCATAATGAAGTCAATCTCATTTTTTGTGGAACCGTCGGGGCTCGACCAGGTCCACTTCCTGTGGGGCCGCTTCTGGAAGAAAGAGTTCATCATAAAGAGTCCCTCTTTCTCCATGAAGTCGGCCAGCTGCTGGCCCCTTGGGTTCCGTTGCCCTATTCCAAATTTCCCTACTTTCAGCTCACCGTTCTCTCTTGTGCCTAGTTTTGCATTGAAGTCTCCCATTAACACCGTATATTGGGTTTTGGAGGAATGCATGGCTCTAGAGATATCCTCATACATTTCCTCCACCTCCTCATCGGGGTGTGCCGAGGTTGGTGCGTAAACCTGTATGACCTTCAGCGAATACCGTTTGGTGATTCTGAGTATAAGGTACGCAACCCTCGTCGACACACTCCCGATCTTTACAACGTTGTTAACGAGAGACTTGTGGACGATAAATCCGACACCTCTTTGGGACAGATGGTCGCCCTCCCGGTGATAGAGCAAGTTGCCGGATTCGAGGATTACCGTGTCCTCCCCCTCTCTTCGGACTTCGGATAATCCTATAATATGCCAGCGCAACTTGTCTATCTCTTCTTCCAGCTCCACAATCTTCTCGTCAGTCCTCAGGGTGCGTGCGTTGTACGTTGCCAGGTCGAGTCGTCTAAGGTGGCAACCGAACCTCCACCGGAGATTCTTAGCACCCCCTGCCCCGCCGTTACCATGGTCGCCACCGTAGCCAGGAATAGCGGGGCCGCCGGGGACTGGGGGCCGCCGGGGACTGGGGGCCGTTTCTTTGTTACTGTCATTCATAGGGGGGTATTTGCCATAGTTGCCACGCTTGGCGAGCGGGTTGGCAACCGCAGTTTTTTTATTGTAATTTGGCTATTATCAGGAAGATGCTGCTGCCCATCTCCTGCCTGTTTCCCTTTGTCGCCTTTTACGACACCCACGGGAGGATATGGGGTAGTGGATATTCTTGACCGCCACTACACGGCAAAATACTGCACGGCACTACACGGCATCAAGTATTGACAACTATTAACAATTTAAAACGATTAATTATTTACATCTTAAATATGTAATCACTTAAAATAAAATTAACTTACTGGTCTTTTAATAGGTGTTCAAAATGGAGTCCGTTTCTCACAATGCACAGTTGAGCACGCTTCTTTAAATTATTTTTCTCATTAATTACATGTGTCTGAGCACTTTTCACTTCCGTGAATGCAGCAATTATTTTGCTGCGGAGATCGTCATAGCTTTGGGCCTCTTCGACGTAAACTTGTCTCCATTTCATCCCATAAATAAATGTCTAGTGGTGCAAGCTCGGTTGTAAATCTGGTATTATTATAAAAATATCTATTGATAAGACTCACATATTTTTTTTTACATCATCATTATAGCCCTTCACAACTCCACTGCTGAACATAGGTCTTTCCAAGGAATGCCATAAAACACGGTTCTTAGTCACTTGCATCCATTACTTATGGATCTGGCACGAAACCCTTTAATGCTGCCCGTTTAATAAAGCTCAAGATCGCTCAACGAACGAGGAGAGGGCCAAGCTCGGCATTTTTGTGTGATAGAATTCATAGTAAAGATCAGTATTGGATATACAACTCAAAGAACCGACAACTGGTGGGATAGAAAAGTACACGAGTGGCAGCTGCGCTAGCAATGTGCAACCCCTCTCTTAAAAATTACCTATGTACGACCAGATAAAACTTATATATAAATAAACTTACATTTTTAAATTATTATGATGAAATAATGATGCATAATGTCATGTTGTAAGAAGCAATATAAATTGTCATACAAAAACTTATTAAGTAGGACCTACCTAATACTAATTACCTGGAGCGTAATTTCGTAGCAACAGCGTAGTCAGTATTGGCTACGACGCCGACTACGCAGAACGTAGCTTAATCGCGTTGTTAGTTGTAGAGAATATTACGAAAAGAGTTAAACGCGATAGGATCGAGGAGTTGTGAAAGTTATTTATTTTGTTTTTATTAATAATTCGGTTTAAGTTATTAATAATTTGGTTAACTTATTTCACTTCTAAAACATGTGAATTTAAGGACAAAATATATTAGATTTAAGTGATGTTTTATGATGTAAGCGAAATAAAGTTTATGGATATCTTAACTACGAGCTTTTAAACATAATTTGGGCTAAAATAATTTGATCTTAAATAAGTTTAGTAATTTCTTAGCATTAAATCTTGTTTACCATTTTACGAAATTTTACGAAAATTTTGATCATTTTACGAAAAAAGAAGAAATTGTTTTACAAATAAATTAAATATATATAAACTGATTTAAATGATCGTCGGTTCTAGTACAAATCACATATTGTTTTAGTAATAATTATACATTATCATTGTGACAGTGTACTCTTTAAATAAATAAAAAAAAAAACCTGAACCGATAAACTATACGTTGATGACCTTGTGTTAAATATTATTAAAAATATATATTTATAACATCTTCATTTAAAGTAGGTTACGGCTAAAAGAGGCTGTATTATGTTGATATTTTATCAAGAAACAGGTTTATCGGAATCTATATTATTATAAAATTAAATAACTAACTAAATACTGTTTGCTAAGTACTAAATTAGTTTTTAAACAAATTCGACATTTTTCAAAAATTGTGTCTAAAACATATTCCCACTTCTCATGTGAGAAGAATAATTTTTGAAATTTTATTATAATTAAAAAATATATATTCGAAGTTAAGAGGATTTTGAAACTGTTGTGAGTGTTGACTTACCATGAGTTTGGTGATGAAAACACAGTCTGAGGCACACAATCTACTTGATGTTGAGTGGATGATGTGGCTCATAGACATCTACATCTATCCTCAAATAGGAATAAAAATATAGATGCGCTGTCACCCATGAGGACTATAATGGAATGCCTCGTTTCCAGTAAAAATATCCAGTTCTTTACACTCGACATACGAAACAGTGCATTAGCGATAAGCTGTTATTTTACGCTGATATTTTTTGAGTGGGTTGGTCGGCTCTACCCGTTGAGTCGACCTAAGTGCTAAAAGTTTAATAAAGCTGCAACATGGCTATACCATATGTAAATCGTAAGAATACTGGGATTTTTTTTTTATAAATTACTAATATTTCGAGGAATATTAATTCCGTCAATAGCATTGGGGCAGCGCGGCTTACTCTTACCTGTTCCAAAACCCTCTCTGAAAGTGACGTGAATTGTGCTTAGCTGTGAGACATATGAGATAATAACTTTACAGTAAATTTAAAATTTGCTTTTGTTTCGTGATACGTTGCAAATAGGCCAAGTTAAGTGTACCTTTAACTGACGAGCATGTATGCGTAGATGTGTAAAATGGATATGTAAAAAGTTAGACAGGTGTGTCAGGATCGTGTCAAATGGAAATGCGATGTCTCCACTTCTGAGAACTGCCTTTGAGTGATAGGTGTGAAAGTTAATATTTATGAATGTACCTAATGTATACGTATTTATATAATTATATAATTATGGCTCATCGCTCACTTAGCAATCAGTCACCACAGGGTTTATTTTACCTGACGATGTCTCGTTCAGAGGCAAAATGAGTTTCATGTTATCAACGGTGGTGAGTCTTAGTGTAGTGGTGTTGGGATTAGTGGTTATGGGGAAGGTGCATGCAAGAGGGCATTTTATTTTATTACGTGGATCTTATTTAGTTAAGTTTTAACATTTTTAATATAACGGATTTCCGCAAAGTAACGCCCGAATCTATTAATTATTTATGTCATTTGTTTATTTTTGTATGTACATAATTACCGTATAGTATTATCCATATATTAAATGATTTTTGTGTAAACAGTTATGTAATTTAATTTATATTTATATCTTTTATCAATTTATACACCTAAATACTACATATATCTATCACTCATATTTTTTTTATAGGATAGGGTGACAAACGAGCACACAGTCCACCTGATGGTAAGTGGTCGCAGTGGCCCATAGACATCTACATTTATCATCAAAATGCAGATGCGTTGTCACCCGTGAGGACTAAGATGGAATGCCTCTTTTCCAGTAAAAATGGTCTCCGGTTCTCTACACTCACCATACGAAACACAGCAGTGTTAAGCTGCTATTTGACGCTGGTATTCTGTGAGAGCGTGGTCCTTCCCCGGACGAGCCGACCCATCCGTGCTTCAACTACACGACTAATATAGCTGCAGCATGGCTGTACCACGTATGAATGAATCTCATATAATATATGAGGTTTAATAAAATATAAATCTCTGGATTTTTAAATTCAAGTCTTCTCTTCTCAAGTTCTCTAAACAAAACGTTACACATACCCCGTACTAGGACCTATACTTGTATCGCGTTGCAAAAGGACAAACATCTAGACCCGGAGTAACTATCTGTAGGCCATACAAATATTCGTTCCGTGCGGGAGTCGAATCCCCCGCTCTTAGCGCCGTAACTCTGCCACTGCGCCACGGAGTCGTCAATCATTAATATTTTGACACTTTTCTTGATTAAATTTCAATAATTTTCTTTTTATATTTTCAAGCCTTTGATTTTTATAGATTGTGCTTACAAAAATTGATTTACAAAAAATGTCTACAAATACAACAATGTCAATGTGTGAAAATAACTCTGTGCTAGTTGACGAAACAGTGAATTGTTTGGAGAACTCTTCAAACCAAACAATCGAAGAGTTACTCACACGTGACCAGCGTGCAGTGATTGTGACGTACTGGGTGCTGATGACGCTGGGGGCATTCTGCAACCTGGCCGTGCTGATGAGTTTGACAAGAACTCGCCGCAGGAAGTCAAGAGTGGATTTGTTAATGACGCACTTGGCGATAGCTGATGTTTGGGTTACGTGTGGAGTTATACCACTAGAGGTAAGTACATTCATTCATTTTCATAGGGCTAGGGCAAAATCTGTCGCCAAGTCGAGCAAAAAAGCGGCACGGCCGTAACGTCCTTTTCTCGAAGCAGTTCAGGCCATTTTCAACAGCCTATAACTTCGTGGTAGATAAAACTAGAAACCTGAATTCAGTAACCAAGCATGAATTGTATAAACACGATGTATTTAAAATTTCAATCAATTTGAACCAGCATTTTAAGAATTATAACTAGTCAAAGTTTCTTAATTTTATCACTCACTGACTGACCGATCATTAAAACTCTAAGGCACTTCTAGCAGACGTAGAAGCTTCAAACTTGGAATACAATTAGTGTTTAGTATATAAATCAAGGGGAAATTAAAATATTTTGTAATTTCGGTCCAGTTTTCTAGATACACCAACTGCGTAAATAACTTTGTAATCCTATATAAATATATAGGATTACAAAGTTACGTTTGCAGTGAATGAATCAGTGTACCTGTATATATATATATATATATATATATATATATATATATATATATATATATATATATAATATAACGGAATAATAGGTGTAGATGGGTACCTAGATATAATTATGTTCAAAGGTAACTTGTAAAATGGTCAACGGAATGAAAAAGCAAGAATGGGACACATCTAATGAAGTTGTACCAAAATCCCGGTATTAAGTAGACTAAATTGCCCAAAATTGCCATGAAAGAAAGAATCCTAATAATCATAACCGCGGCCGGCGGAGGTGGCTTGCCCGCGGCTCGGCTTCCACGCTTCCCGTCCGTCACAGAAAGGCGGCGACTTTCTTCCAGGTAACCTTTGGGTTTTACTGGGATATCGCAGGTATACACACAAACCACGTTTTATTTAACTTACGCAAATTGTATCAGTCAGTATGGGTATGGGTATAAAAATATGATGGTTCCTTGGCACAGTGACTTAGCAATGAGTTGCAGCGCTAAGGGCCGCGGGTTCGAACCCCGTATGGAAGAAGAGTTTGTATGGTCTACAAATAATTGTTCTGGGGCTGGATGTTTGTCCTTGTGAAATTTATGTATGTAAACTGCTCCGCGATACAGGAGAAAATCCTAGTGTGGAGGTAACGTTTATTTAATAAAAATTAAATAATCTTTATTTGGGTTTTATTGCGATATCGCAGGTATACACACAAACCACGTTTTATTTAACTTACGCAAATTGTATCAGTCAGTACCGGTATGAGTATAAAAATTTAAATAATCATTATATAAATCTAATTCTATAGAAAAATAATGGGTCAAGTAATTTATTAATTTAAAAAATGTTTGAGCGCGGCAGTGTGCCGTACATTAACTCAAGTTAATCCTCTGTTAAGCTTGATGTTGTTATTAATTTTCTGTACCTACATTTACAGTATTTATAGTGACTGAGAGATAACAATTTTACATAAGGATTAACTTTAACTGACGTTTGACGAGCGCGGCCCTACTAACTAATGAAATAAAAAAAATATTTTAAAATAAAGAACACGTCGCGGCCGCTCTTGTCTCGTATGTACGTGCGTAATTACCCACGAGCGATCGGCAGCCACGGTCATATGCGCGATCGTCCTCTTGCTGTTCGGATGTGCCTAGAAATCTTACCTATAAATTTGCGATTGTCGTTTATAATTTCGATTGCTATATTAGTTTGACGACTGAAAGCCTTACTCATTGGTTTACTGATATTATTTGCTTACGATTTGGACGTTGTTTGGATAATTTTGATGTATATTAATACGTTGTAATCTTACCTTAAGTTTGCGATTTTCGTTTATAATTTCGATTGCTATTATTTCTTTGACGATTGGAAGGCTTTTACTCATTGGTTTACCTATATATATTATTTGCCAAGGATTTGGACGTTGTTTGGATAAATTTATAATATATTAATACGTTTTAAGAAAAGTAAAGTCACGTTTATCTACTAATCGTGTTCCTGTACAAAAAACTCCTGCGTACTATTACTAGTAGTCGCAATGGTTTCGGTAATACTGTACGTGAATGACCCTCCTTGCCCAATCCTTGCCCACACTGGGTTGTCCCTTTACTTGGCGATGGTTCGTGTTTATTTCATTCTTTGTCATTCTCTATGTATGGGAATATTGAGTCGTGGTATGAGATTAGACTTGCTATAGTCGAGTATGTGGTAGTGCATTGGGATGAGCTACAACTGTATACTTGTGACGATCGCGGAGACTCCTACATTAATGCTAATTTGTACTCGATGGCAATGGTAAAACCAACTACCTATGGTTCCGCGTCTGAACTTGTGGCGGCCACCTCTTTGTATCGGTATGCTTTCGAGGTTTACGAAAACGGCCTTTTGAGAGAATCGTTCGGTGGTGATTCTGGTAATCCGGTGAAACGTGTACGATTTTATGGAAGTTTCTTTGACGGCCATCATAAAGTGCTCCTTCATTACCGGAAGTTCAGAGAGTAGCAGTAGCGCGTTACATTGCGTCTCATCCCAAAGTTCACCGAGAAGCAGTGTCACGTTACACTGCTTCTTACCCCGAAGTTAACCGTGAAGATGTGGCACTTTATAAAGATCTACACCCTGAGCTTAATCTTAAATCTGTTCAAAGGAAAAGATCAAACGAAAAATTACAATTTCGACTAAAAATTTAGAAAAAATTACTCAAGCGCTAACAAATAAAATTAAGAACAGATTAGAAGCGGAGAAGCTAATTAAATGGGCAGTTCATAACAGGCAGCAAACATTAGGAAACTTTAATAAAACTATTGATAAATTGAAAGATAAATTTAAAGTATCGTTAGAAAAACTAAGTTCGCGTCCTCCAGATAGTTGTTTGAATGACAAGTTAGAATGTTTTCTTGGAAAATCAGAGCATAGAAGTAACCAGGAGCCATATTACGCAGAAAAAGCTTACAACTTATTTGAAAACAAGGACAAAGCCATCGCAATTGACGATACAGGAAAAACAGTTTTTGGGAATGTTCAAAGGCATGGGCGTAGTTTAGTTTGGTGTTGTAGTGATTTGTGTACCCTAGATGAGAACGTAATCATACAATTAACAAACATTTTGGAAATCTTGGTGAACAAAAGTGCTCTGTATTACACATTAATTGAAAAAGAAAAAATATTACAGTATATAAATTATATTAAAACTCTCAAAGGACATTTTCCCCGTCTAAGGACAATGTTAAGAGAAATATATCAAGTGCAGAGTATTTTTAACATTTTAAAAGATATTGATGAATCGTTAGAAAAATGTGACGTAGAAAGAATAAAAGAACACGGAAAAAAAAACAAAAAATTGGCAGTATTGTTGTGGAAAGTGAAGTGTCACATGAAATTGTAGAGGATGAGGTCACAAATAAACATAACAATCTCTAAAACTAAAGTGTCTTGATACTCCAAAACTTGAGTGCATTTCGTGTATAAAACTTTGTTATTCAAGAGATATTTCATCTCTGAACAAATTAAGAACAGCTATAGACAACAGTATTTGGAATAATCTTCTCAATTATTACAAAACCAACAATCTAGATCACAGCTCCTACATTTGTCAAATCGTTTACAAAAAATTAGAACAAATCAACTGCCAGTAGCCTGTGTACTAAATAATCTACACGTTAGTACCAAGTTGAATGACTATGAAAAGATATTAATTCAACACGCCAAAGCATTTCAGGTAGTAATGCTAATGAATCCCATTGTAAACAAATATTTACCTAATAGGCATATGGTGAAAAAAGAGAGAACTTTTCACCTTCCTTTGCCTCTTGAAGAAACTTTGAAAAGCTACCTAGACCAAGACACTAGATTATTAACCCTGAAATGTATATTATGGTACGAGGTACGCCAACAAAATCAAAAATAGTGTGGGGGGATATTGTAGATGTCAATAAGGTTTACCAAGCCTTACAATATTTGAAAGGTATAAATGCCCTTCACTCTTAAATACAACTTCCACATTCACCTCAACAATTGATTGATTATATTAATGAAGAGGTCAATATCTATCATACAGTAGACCAATTAGAATCTCAATTAGATAACGTTGTAGAAAGAAATAATGGGCTACTAACACAAGTTACATCAGAAAAAGAGGCTGACTATGAACAATACACTATTTAACCCTTGCATGAAAGGAGGAGAAACGCTCCTATTTCAGAACTCTACCAAATGCGCAATGTTAACGCTGCTCCAATTGATTCTAGAGATAAAGATTTAGATGTAAAGTGCATTCCTGATCTTTATGTTGAAGATAAATATGGACAGTTTTATGTTCGGCAGCAAAAGTTAACATCTAGTGAACATATTAAAGCAAGACTAATGTCAAAACAGTCTCAATTCCGCTTAAAACAACAATATTTATTTTTTCTACTTAATGATACTAATATACCTCAAATAAATTCAGGCATATTCTATAAAATGAATTGTGTTAATCAAAAACGAAAAATTACAGCTGAACAGTATTTTGATATGATTAATAAAGATGAGTTAGAAGGTGACTTAACAGCGATATTTGGTAGGTTAAGAAATACGGAACAGTTTTGGAAAAAACCGAGAAATGATGTCAACTGTATGACACAACACTACGGGCCAGCAACATGGTTTCTCACCATAAGTCCTTCAGAATGGATGTAGGATAATTTAGGTGAGTACCTCAAGGAAGTTAATTGTCCTGAAATGGCGAACAAGAGCATAAGTGAATTAGTTGCATTAGATCCTGTCTCCACTTCTCAATTTATTGAAAACAAGTTTAAAGCTATGTTGGACTTCATTATGTCATCCGATGAGCCGCTTGGAAAATAATACATTACTTTTGGAGACGAGAATATCAATCACGTGGAGCGCAACACTTTCATTTAATGTTATGGGTAGAAGACGCCCCCATATTTCACCAGTCCTTGTTTGATGAGGTTGTATCATTCATTTCAAAGTATGTAATTTGTGTTATACCTGATAAGAATGTTTCACCGACACTCTATCAACGAGTTACATCATATCAG